GTTTCAAATATTATAGTTTGATATTTATACTTACCAATTCACAGAGAATTGAATGACCTGAAAAGTACTATTAAAACAAGAACATAAATTGGATCATAAATTTTAATATTTTTAAATATAGAATAATAATATAAATCTTTTGATCCACCAAACTAATGCAAATTAAATGATTCGCAAGAAGCTGTATGAAAGGCAAATACTATATAAGCTTGATTTTACAATAACTAAGTAGGATAATAGAATAGGGTTTTTACCTTGAAAATGACCTTATGGGATATAATAATTACTATGCCTCATAAGGTAATTTTCAAGGTAAAGATCTCAAACAATTTTAATACATACCAAGTTAATGTGAATTAAAAGATCTAGGGTGTGAAAGAACTATTTAAAGCAAATATCTGTAATGGTAAGTTTGTATTGCAAATTTTAATTAACAATCATAATACTCACCAAGTCCATTGTGAAATAAACAGGCAGAAAGCAATTTAATAATAATATTGAATTGAAAGGTTAAATAGAAGAATAAATAGTTTCTTATACCCATAAAATCATTGGCTTAAATTATGTATAAAGATAAACATTCATAAGTTAGATGAAGCTTAAAATGATGGAAAGCAAGAATACTTACAAGTTAAGATTTTAAGAGAATAATAAAATTAAATACTTACGGTGCTACTTAATAATAAATATAGTAATAAGACTTAAAAATAAATATATAAAATAAGATAAAGTCAAAATCTATTATTGAACAAAAATATATAATTCTTATTGAGTATATTATAGTAAAATGTTCAATATATTATATGTTATCAACATATAAATATAAAGCAATACATGTAAATGTTAAGTAGAGAAAACATTAATACTGCTCATATTTTTTTTAAGAAATATTAATTGTTTCAATAAATCTGAATTAAGCCTAGTGCATTTATCTGTTACATGGTTTCTAGCATTAGAAAATAGATGTTCTGATGGCATAAAGGAAGCTGGCACTGCAAGATATCATCTTGCTAAGATTGCCAAAGTAGGAAAGAGGGGTTTGTGTTGGTGCCACCAAGCCAGAGGGCAGGGTTCATTGTCAAGGAAAACTTCAGGTATTTCACAATACTGATCAAATTCATCAGGCATGGTGTTAGTATTTTCTATTCATAAATGAGAAAAAAATGACATTTTAAGTTTTTTATATTGATGTAATATTGTATCATCATTGTTGGTTAGTGTAGTATCATCATTAGTAGGTTGTGTTGAATTCAATTCATCAAATTGGTGGTGCATAATTTGGATCGTCGAGCAGTGTAAATCTCTAGTACAGAAGTTTAATTGCTTAAATCATAGGTCAAAAAAAGAGCAGCACATTCCAATCTCACTTGGATCTCCCTACTGTTCAATCAAGTTATCTAAGATTATGTTTCTAACAAGGATCACTTCATCATTTTGATCAGTAAAGTACTTAAGCCAACGTACGAGTTCTTCTAACATTGGTGTTATAAAACCAAGTGTCAGGTATTTGGATCCACTTAAAAATTGTGTTGCTTCATCAAAAGAAGAAAGGATTACAATGAGTTCTTCAAATAATTCAAATTCTTTTTGCGAAGGAAGAAAAGAACTCATCATTTCTGCCCCTCTTCTAACCTCCCTAAGAGTATGATTATTGAGAGTTGAGTATAATTGCATAATGGCAGATCTCAAGTACACAAAATGTTCAATAGAATAAAAGGTAGAATTCTATCTGATATCCATATTCTTAATGACATCTAATGGTTTTTTAAGTCCCAGGTTAATTTGTAATTGTGCTTTACGAAGTTGTTTTATTTTTTTTTCTTTTGACAAAATAGAAACAAGTGTTTTGCACTTTGAAATAAGCTTATTTACTTGCTTTAGTTCTAAATTTACACTTAGTTGTAATATATGCTCGGCACACTTAACATTAGTAATGCCCATTTGTTATACTGCCGACTTGACATTTGCACTATTATTTGTAGTGATAGAAAAGACCTTTTGACGATTAATATTAAATTTATCCAAAACAGAGTTAACAGATTCTACAATATCAAATGCGTAATGATTATTCAACTTCCCAATTTCAAGTATAATTTTGTGCAACTCAAATGATTCTGTAAGCCAATAACAAGTGATTTTGATGTAACCATCATGCACTCGTGAAGACCAAATATCAAAGGTTAAAGAAACTGTGTCAGACATCCCTAAAATAAGATCTATAATTTGCTTTACCACTAAAGTATAAGTACCAAATATGATCGTTTTTATTGTACTAACACATGGCATTTTAAATCGAGAATCAAAACTTTTTATCAAAAGCTTAAAGTCATCAATTTCGACAAGATAAATAGGCTGAACATGAGAAACTATATATCGTACAACTTAAAGTGCAAGTTTTTTTTGAGCAAAAGAAGAATGGGGTTTTATAATTACTTGCTGAATTGTTTGTTGATGAACTTTTACTAACTTATTTGCAAGTGATTCTTTGGTAATTTGATGAATATCTCTAAGGTAAGATAATAAATTGCTTGTTGAACCTAACCACATATACTCTGTATCACATCTATCAAATAAGCATTGAACTTTTTTGACTTCCTCTTCTAGATTATCTGGTGTAAGTATTATAGCATCATATTTTTTAAAAAATTGCCATACGAAACTTTCTGGCTTTCTTTCTTTTCTTTTTCTTTTTTTAACACAATTCAAATTTGAAGAAGATGTTGATATTGAGGCTAATATTTCATCATCATTACTATCTTTTTCTTGGTCATTATCAGATGAATCAAAATCATCATTATTTGCACTATACATTGTAGATTCTTCTGTTTAGATATTACCAAGATGGCATTCTCATCTTTTTATTATATTCATATTTGTATTAAAGTACTTACATATTATACAGGTTCTGTACAAGACAAAACTAGAATTAAAATTTCACTTTAGGCTGTTTCTTATTTTAAATGATATATAATATATTTGACTTTTACAAATCGTGGATACTTACATATACAGGTTCTTTTAAAACAAAAGGCAGATTTTTGATGAATGCTTCATGTTTATCACCAATTTTACTTTTATAAAACTTATTACTAGTTCCGTTATCAATAATATTTATTATATGATTTCTGAAAATGTTTAAATGCATCATGTTTGTTTCTTGGCTTTTACTTGATGTATCCTTTTTTTTTATATAATGACGTTTGATTTTTATAAATGTGTTATATGTATTATTGTTCTTTTATTATTTCGCACAAGTTCAATATACCAATAATGGTAACCTTTAATTGCAAAACTAGTTAAAAAACCAGAAATAAGTAGGCTTTAATATCTAAAATGCTTTCATCTCACCTCAAATTAGTGTAATTATGACTTTGGTTTATATTATTTATTCTTTCTTTCTTCACTCTCTGTCAACAACACCTATTAATCTAAGCAACAGCTATACTTATTACATAACAGCAAGAATACTTTATAATTTTTTGAACTAAAAAAAAATTATTTAAAAAGATTATGCATATATATGTATTTGATTACAAATATGTATTAAACAATAAATGCAAATTACAAATAAACTATGTAGATATGATGATAAGCTTCACCAATTTAACTACTACATATTAGTTACTAATCAATGGTTGTGATTCTGTTATATCATTACTATTAATGGTAATAGATAGTTGTTTAGTTGATTAATATAGTTGATAACTAATTGATAACTGACAATTAATCATAATTGAATCAGTTGATAATAAATCGATTAGTTGCTTAAATTTTTTTTAAATCGATTAGTTAAAAAGTTGCCAACTAGTTGGTTTTTCAACTAACGATTTGAAACACTAGATGTAGGTGCAGATATAATATTGATAGTAGTGGTAGATGTTGGTGTGAAAGATATAGTAGCATTAGTAGTAACAGATGTTGGTAAAGAAAATATAGTAGCGGTAATAGTAGTAAATATTGATGCAAGCATGATATTAGTAGTAGATGTAGGTGTAGGTGTAATATCAATAGTAGTGGTAGATGTAGATGCAAGTAAAATATTGGTAGCAGGTGTAATATTGATAGTAGTGATAGATGTAGATGCGAAAGATTTAGTAGCAGTAGTAGTAGCAGATATTGGTGCAGAAGATATAGTGGCAGTAGTAGTAATAGATGTAGGTACAAAAGATTTGGTAGCAGTAGTAGTGCCAGATATTAGTGCAGAAGATATAGTGGTGATAGTAGTATTAAATATAGGTGTAGGCATAATATTGGTAGTGGTAGATGTAAATGCAGGTATGATATCATCAGTAGTGGATATAGGTACAGGTGTATTATCAGTAATAGTTGTTGTAAGTGTAGAAGATATAATAGCAGAAGGTATAGTAGCTATAGTAATAGTAGCTGTAGGTGCAGGAGATATAGTGGCAGTAGTAATGGTAGCCATAGATGCAGAAGACCTAGTAGTAGTAGTAATGATAAATATAGGTGCAAAAGTGATATCAGTAATAGTTGTAAATGCAGAAATAGGTAAAGTTGTGATATAATTATCAGTTTCAGAGTTCATTAAAAAATCAATAGAGCTGGCTTGTCAAGAGATTTGAATACTCATTTCAGAACTATTACTTTCTGACTTTTCTTGATCATTACAATATAGTGAACCTTAATTATTACAATATAGTGAACAATGGGTCCAAGATTCAATGTATTGTTTATTGAAAATATGTTTACAACTTAAAAGTGTTACAGACTCTTTAAGGGTTGGGTCAATATTAGTTTGACAGATAAAGCAAAGGTCTCATTCATGCATATTAATATCAGCTGAAACTTCTATTAATTCTTCATATGAAAGGACTTTATAAAGAAAATTTCTAAATTGACTTATTTTTTTTTTTTAAAAAAAAAAATACAATCCAATGTTCAATTTATTTATATTCATAATTTTCATAAAGATGCCATCTTTATCTTTACCTCTATGTAATAAAATCTGTCAGTATTACATAAAATCCATCAATATTATATTAAATGTTGTAAGTAGATTTATATAAATTAAAATAAATTAAATAAGCAGATAGTTAAAAATTATATACTTATAATCTAATTTCTGTCATTGTTGCACTAGGGTATTTATAAAATTAGTAAATTAAATAATAGTTTGAACACTATAGTTAAAAGTATAAATTCAATAAACACTTTATTATAAAAATATATTATAGCAGTTTAATTAAAAATTACATTCTTATAATCTAATTTCTGTTATTATTATGCTAAGGTGTTTATAAAATCAGTAAATTAAATAATAATTTAAACACTATAGTTAAAAGCATACATTTAATAAACACATTATTCTAAAAATATATTATAGCAGTTTGCAAAAAGATGTGCTCCATGATTTTTATAATAATGATAATGAAGAATTTTATTTTATATATGATTAATGATATCTATATGTATTTGGAAATCTGTATAATTTTCTTAGAATTGAAAAATTATCTAATTTCTTGTGATTTTACATTACATTATAATCTGCAGAAATCACATCTTTTTGAAAAACACAATAATCAAATTTCTATAAAAAAATAATGAAAATCAAAATAAATTATAAAAATTAATTAAGAAAATGCAATTGTACTCAAAACCTTGTAGATTTATCATAATTCTGATCTAAAGATGTTAAGTAATTAAGATTTAATTATATATACTTAGTTCAAAACTTAAGCTATTATTGTCAGAGTTAAATTCAAGTTTGTTAACATGTAAATCAGTCTGTTCTGTTATGAGGCTTCAAGCCTAATTTTTAAATTTTATTTCTGTTATGAGGCTTCAAGTCCAATTTTTAAATTTTATTTCTGTTATAAGGCTTCAAGCCCAATTTTTGAATTTTATATTAGAATCAAAGGACAATATAAATAAAAAAACTTTGAAGCCATATGTGAATTAGTGAAATTAGATCCTACTTTGACATTTAGTTTACTATTAATTTTGTACTAACTTTCGCATATAATTAATAAAAAAATAAAAATTGTCTTTTAATTATAAGTTTGCTTCTTACAAGATTTAATATCTATTTATTAGTAGTTTAAGTTTAAATATATAATTTTTGATTAGAACTGTATATAAATATTTTGCAGCAACCAAATGTCAAACAAACTTGATTCTCTATATTTTGCATATTTACCTATATTACTAGAATTATACAAGATTATAATAATAATCTTAACAAAAATTACTGCTACAAATAAAGTGTCTATATAAAAATATAATTCATTAAATTATCATAATTTAATAATTTATATAAGTAACTAATTATAATAACTAGTTTGTTTGTTTTAATTGTGATACAGTATACAAATTTTTATTGTAAAATACCAGATTTTTTTGCTTATTCAGAATTTAATATATAACTATCATCATCATTACTACCTCTATGAAACATTGATAAAAATTATCCAAATAATTTTTTATTTCAGCAAATAACAGACAAAAATACAAAATTATGTACATGATTTCAAATTATGAGCATTTATTTTTAGATATAAAATTTATTTATATATAATTTTAGCCTGATTGCATAATGCTAAGTGAAATTAAGAAATAGGAACATAATTGGTTAGAAAATTTTAAAAAGAAAATAAATAAACATAAAAGATAAGAAGAATTAGCAAAAATTTAAGCCATTATCTAATATTTTTCCTTCGGAAAAATATAAAAATTAAAAATTATATTATGTAATATTATGTGCATTAATGTGCATATTATTGAATGTTATGATAAAAATGTGTATAATTTTCATCTATAATCATGAACTAGTTTACAATTAACTTTGAGAACCATGAACTAGTTCATTATTGAGTTTGAAGATCATAAACATAAAAGATGAGAGGTTGGGCAAAAATTTGAGCCAATATTTAATGTTTTTTAAAAGAAAAATTAAAATTAAAAAATTATATTATGCACATTAATGTGCATAATATTGTGCTATAATTATAAAATATGCATGTTTTCTATCTTTAACCATGAACTAGTTCATGATTAAATTTGAGAATTATGAACAAGTTCATGATTAAGTTAGAGAACTGTAAACTAGTTTATGATTGAGTTTGAGGACCATGAACTAGTTTACGATTAAGTTTGAGGACCATAAACAAAGATGAGAGGTTGGCAAAAATTTGAGCCAATATCTAATGTTTTTCAAAGAAAAAATTAAAATCAAAAAATTATATATGATATTATGTGCATTAATGTGCATGATATTGTACTATTATAGTAAAATATGCATGTTTTCTATTTCTAACTATGAACTAGTTTATAATTGAATTTGAGGATCATGAACTAGTTTATGATTAAGTTTGAAAACTGTAAACTAGTTCATAATTAAATTTGAGAACCATAAACTAGTTCACAATTGAGTTTGAAAACCATAAACAAAGATGAGAAGTTGGGCAAAAATTTGAGCCAACTCTAATTTTTTTTGAAGGAAAAATTAAAATCAAAAAAGTATATGCAATATTATATGCATTAATGTGCATGATATTGTACTATTATGATAAAATGTGCATGTTTTCTATCTCTAACTGTAAACTAGTTTACGATTGAATTTGAGAATCATAAACTAGTTCACGATTGAGTTTAAGGACTGTGAACTAGTTTATGATTGACTTTGAGAACTGTGAACAAGTTTATGATTGAGTTTGAGGACCATAAACATAAAAAACCAGAGGCTGAACAAAAATTTGAGCCAATATCTAATGTTTTTCAAAGGGAAAATTAAAATCAAAAAATTATATATGATATTATGTGCATTAATATGCATAATATTGTACTATTATTGT